AAACACGCAGAACAAAAAAAACAGAAAAAGCACACACACACACGCACAGAACAAAAAAACACGCGGAGCAAAAACAAAAAACACTCTTACCGTTTCCTGATGACTGTATCTTTGCTTTGGAACAAGTGCTTCACGCGAGCTATGCGCTAGACCCCGGTGCGTGCTGCATGGCATGTTGAGGCAGCCAAGCAAACATGCATACGCGTCTGTGCGGTCTTTTTGGATCCTGTTTTTCTTGGATGCCTTGCCTCGCGGTTCTTCAGAATTCTTCGCAGTCCTCGTTGCGCACCCTATAATCCCAGTTTCCATTTTATTTTCCATTTTCTTTTCCATTTGATTATCCATTATAGTGGTTTCCATTTTCTTTTCCATTATCCTAATATGACCCCAAAGTGCTTCTGGTCACAGGAGCCTGGCCTGGCCTTGGTCGGCAGTTCTGGACTGCAGGAGTCTTTGCAGGGGCCTCAGATGGTTCCCTGGAGGCTCTTCTCGGGATCAGTTGCAGGTGTGCCGTTCGCCTCCGAGACCTGGGCTTGCAGACGGACTGACGGCATCAGTTGGGTTGTGTCCAAAGCAACAGCTGTGCTGGATGTGGCGGCTGACTAAAGCCTTGTGCCAGGAATTCAGCACCAATGACAGAGGTGCAGCGAGCCCAGGATGAGGGGATCTGTAGAAAGGGGCTTTGCGTTTTTGCCTGCTGCAACAAGGCACAAACAGACCCCATCAATCTCGAGTCGGTGAAGAAAGACAAGAAAAAGCCGCTCGGCACTCCGACGTGTTGCACAGACTTTCCGCCTTGGGTTGCTCGAAATCCGCACAGGCGACATGCCGGCGCGGTTGAGGACCCCAAGAAGAAGCTGCGAGCGGAGGCGCGCAAAGCTTCCGTGCTGCTGGGTCGCGTTTGATGCCTGAGTGCTTTTACTATCAAATCCCTTCTGCAAACTACGTTCGATAAATGCTGCCAGTCTGCCAAGGTTTGCAGGTGCAGAGCAGCTGAAACGGGACGCACAGCTGGCCTCAGTAAAGCCACAATACAATGTGTCACTCGCCTGCCGGATTTGACAAGCAAGCAAGCATTGCTCTTGCAAGCTTGCATCTCTCCTGGCTGCATGTTGTGTTAAGGTTTGACTACTACCACGATTCGGGGCTGGCGCAAAGAATCGCTAAGAGCCCCAAGTTCGAGAATATCACATTGATGGTGGTGTTTGCCTGAGGAACCTTTTGCCAGACAGCCTGGCTGGATACGAGATTAGTGATGGAAGTCTCAACACGATAAAAGGTGCTAACTCGCAGCCTAGGTGTGCTTCAGTGCCCTTTGGATTGCTGTGGATGCCGACCTGAATGACGCCGCAGTTCTAATTGATGCGGACCCGGTTTTCCAAATCATGGAAAATGTGTTCTGCAGCCTGACAAACAGCTAATGTGGCCCCGGAGTGAGTGTAGATTCCAGAGCTTGTTATGAAAGCTAACGGAGCTAGGCTTGAGTTTAGTCTTGCTTTAGCAGTAGTAGCTGGGTCGAACGTGATTCTTTCGCACGAGTCGTAGGTTTGGGGTGGGGGTCGAATGTGACTTTTTGCAAGAGGCTTCGTAGGAATAACATCATGTTTTTGTTGGTAATCACGAAAGCTCCCCGTGTGGGAGCTTCGTTTAGTACCTCACGAAGTGAGCTTGGGGGGGGGGAACGGGGGTGCCAATTTTTGCAGCTGCCCTGCGGGGCACGGACGATTTTCAGGCGTTGGCTTTTGGGTTGTTTTCGGGCAAGATTCCCGGAGTGCATTCTGGGTCAGTTTTGGTAGGTTTTCGGGGGCATTTCAGGAGATTCATGAGGGCATTTGGTGGCGG